CTTTTATAAACACTTATCTCAACCTCTGTTCAGTTACTATTCATGTCACCCTTCCCATGACTCTTTAAAACAAGAAAAAAAATATTTGGGGGTTTTCCAATCAAATTATTAACACATTTTTAATTAAAAGGTATATTTAAAAGCCTCTTATAGTGTTAGAGTCCTTCAAAAATACTCAGTAAACTAGGGTAAGTGGTTTGAGGGCCCTAATTTGTTTTGTGGTAAATTATTTCCAGTATGCAAGATTCAACCTAAATTATTCCTTCTCTGATGTCTTATATGAGTATTTCTTGTGTTCTCTGCCTTTTTTCTTTCCAATAATTCTATGAAAATATTTTCTCCTGATATCGACAGTTCTTCTAGGGAATCCTGACTTTGTCTTTCCCAGAAGATTGTTGGTCTGTGCTGTCTTCTCCTTCCATCACTATTTCTAACCCAAATGGCTCTTTCTCCTACTGATCGGATCCACGTCAGTGTATTGAAGCTGGAGCCTGACTTGTATTATGAATTTGAATAGTGTGCACAGTATTATTTGCAGCACATTATGTGCCCTCAAGACTGACTCGATTTACCTGTAGGTGGTTACTTAAAAAATTAAAATAATAATAACTTGAATAAAATCTATCCTTGACTTTGTGCTATCTTACAGGCTAATAAGTGAAACTTTGGATTCAAGTATAGGTTTGATTCTTAATGTGTGTAGCAATGAGATTATCCTGGAGAGATTTTTGCCCTTTCTTCTTTCATTTATTTCTATTTTTATGCTGTTAAATACTAAATTTCATGTGTTGGTGTAAGCATTGTTTATATTTGTTGTTACATTTTAATTACTGTTTTTTATTACCAACTTTAGTTGTGACTCAAATACTGATTATCTAGTTGTTATTTAACTGGATCCACAGTAAACAATACCTAAATAAGTATAATACCTTGAAAAAAATCATATATTTTTTCAGAGTCCTTTCAATATATTCTACTATTGACTTAGTTATACCCAGTATAAATTTTATTTGGCTTCTAGTAGAAATGTCTGTTTCAAGAGAAATTTAGCAGAAGTACTTAACATTGTAGTCTCTCTTTTTTACCACAGTTTTTCACCACAGTTTTTGAGGGAGTTGAAAAACATATAGAATTTAGATATCCAAAAGTGATAAATATGACCAATTATTCAAAAATATACAATGTAATTCTTAGTATTTGAGAAATAAATTTTAATGAAATATAAGTTGTCATATAATCACTTAATTCAATCATGGCCTATCATCCTGAAAAAATCTTGATTAGTTCTTTCAGATACACCCAAGAAGATCTAATAGAGTTAGAATATGTTTAGACATTAGCTCATAAAATGTTACAACCCAGGAGATTGCTATCCTGTGCAATCAACCTAGTTAAGTACATTCTATATTTAACATAATTGTAAAGATTCAATTTTATTAACACATTTTGTCTTCCAATATTTACTCCAGTATTGTGAAATAAAATAAATGTTCTCATTCTACAGGTGAGTAGATATTATCACAAATCATTTTATGCAATTACTGAAGGGTCTAGAAGGCTGATATTTTATTCCAATGCTCTGTACAATGATGTTTCTCTCATTTGTTTGGATGTCAGAAGGAAATTATTCTTTAGCCAATCACTTGGTATTTTAATGTGTTTTAATATGAAAACAGCTAGTAGAATATAGTGATAAATTAACCAGTTGATCTGACGGTTTCAAAAATTATGTGAATTCAGCCAGTGAGTGAACACCCATGTTTTCCGTTTGATTCTGCAGTGAGCAGCATGAACATTTGAACCACTGTCTTGTCACTGTTTCCTGATCCACAACTGAGAAATTATACATTGCCAAAATGTAAATATGAGCACATAGCTCACCTTCCTTTGAGTCACAATATTCAGTCACACTATTGTTTATTCTCTTTGTAGTAAATGAATTATAACTTTATGAATATTTTCAAGTTTGTCCCATGAGGTGTCAACATGAAGAATGTCACTGAAATTACTACATTTGTACTGAAAGGATTCACAGACAATCTTGAACTGCAGATCATCTTATTCTTCCTGTTTCTAGCAATCTACTTGTTTACTCTGATGGGAAATTTGGGACTGATTGTATTGGTCGCTGGGGATTCCCGGCTCCACACCCCCATGTATTATTTTCTGAGTGTGTTATCATCTGTGGATGCCTGCTATTCTTCAGTAATTACCCCCAATATGTTAGTAGATTTTATCTCAAAAACTAAAGTCATTTCATTCCTGGGATGTGCAACACAGATGTTTCTCGCTATTATTTTTGGGACGACAGAATGCTTTCTCTTGGCTGCAATGGCATATGATCGCTATGTAGCAATCTACAACCCTCTGCTATATTCAGTCAACATGTCACCTAGGCTCTATGTGCCACTCATCATTGCTTCCTATGTTGGTGGCATCTTGCATGCTACTTTACACACAGTGGCTACTTTTAGCCTATCCTTCTGTGCATCCAATGAAATCAGACATGTCTTTTGTGACATCCCTCCTCTCCTAGCCATTTCTTGTTCTGACACTCACACAAACCAGCTTCTACTCTTTTATTTGGTGGGCTCTATTGAGATAGTCACTATCCTGATTGTCCTGATCTCTTATGGTTTCATTCTGTTGGCAATTCTGAGGATGCATTCTGCTGAAGGGAGACGAAAAGTCTTTTCTACCTGTGGCTCTCACCTAACCGGAGTGTCAATTTTTCATGGTACAGTTCTTTTCATGTATGTGAGACCAAGTTCCAGCTACGCTTTGGATCATGACATGATAACGTCAATATTTTACACCATTATGATTCCCATGCTGAATCCTATTATCTATAGTTTGAGAAACAAAGATGTAAAAGAGGCAATGCAAAAAATGCTTAGGAAAAAATGGTTTCTCAATAAAGTATATGTTCACAGTAAAAATTAAATTTAAAAAATTGAGAGTGCCGTTCTGTGCCTCAATATCAAGAAGATATGATGAAAATGTTTTACTTTATTAATGTATTTCTGTTTTCCTGGATTCTTCAAAATAAAGATTATAGTCACCTCTTTATGTAGGCTATATTTCTATGCAGGAAAAAACAGTATCATCCTTTTTCTTCTTAATATGTTCTTATTGAAATATGTATACACACATATATATACATATATATGAATGTAGAAGCTATATAGATTGATATAACACAAATACACACACAAGGCATACATGTATTTAATCTTTACTTTAGAATATTGTATATTGTTTTCTTTCATCTACATATAACTCTAATATATAGGCTCCAATAATTGCAACTATAAATAACATATCTGACTACGTTGATCAAATACCATCTAATCAATAGCAAAACCATGGTTCACATAACCTCAGACCACTTTCCATGGAGTCATTGGTATCTGACTCCAATTCAAAGCACTCTGCCTCCGTCCTTAGACCTATGTATTGGCACCAATCCAATCATTAGTTGTGGTTTGAGGACCACAGAGAATGCGTTCAAATTCTTGGCATCATTACCATGCTGATTTGTCAAGGTGCATTTCTTCTTATTTTCTTATTTAATCCAGATCATGGGCATTAAACCCATCTTTAATTTCTCACAGAAAACAAAGTCTAGGCATTAGCACTTATGAAGATCACACAAACTCAAGAATAACAAAAGAAAAGCACTATTCAGAGAATAAGGCATACCTGGCAGGCGGATTGAGCTCTTCCCACAACTAAGACCTGGCCTGTTTTTATGGGGTTCCTTAAGACTTGTTAATTTCTAGTTCTCTTTTCCTTTGATCCCTATCCCTCTCTGATGCCCTAGCAGATCCCACACCCCTCAGTGCCCCAGACAAGAACCAAGGCACAGAAGAGAGTCTCCCCTATGTGCATGTTTTAGCGCTGCATCCAGCGGACCTCATGTTCATTGCAAAGATATGTCCCTCAAAGACAATTTTAAGTTGTAGGGTTTGCTCTTCCTTCATTTTTATTTTTTGCTTTTTAATTATTACTTTGTGAAAATTCATTCTCTTCCTCAAGGGGTATCATTGTTTAATTCCAATGAGACATTCTCCTTAGAATTAGAGACCAACCTAAGGATATTTCCCTAATTTGAGATTATTAAATTTAAATAACAGCTTAAAAGTTCTTATGCAGAACATTTCTTACCACCATATATTCCTACCACAACTTCTCTGCATTTATTTTCTCCAGTTTGAAAGATTCTTCCCACTGCTGTTCAAATGATTCCTTCCTTGAAATGTCAAAATCAAATCCTGGTCACTGATTCACTATCCTTTCACACCAAACCATGCAAACGAGGACTGACTGTGTGTGTGTGTGTGTGTGTGTGTGTGTGTGTGTGTCTGTGTGTATGATTCAGCATTGAAGAGATCCTTAAACACAACTTAAAATCACAAAGATAGATAAATTTTATGCTTTAAAATTTTAAAGGTCTGAATGAAAAAAATAATTACAAATATAGTAAAAGACATAGCCATAGGCTGGAGAAAATAGATATAATTACGCATCTGTTGAATTAACAAATAATACAATAAAATTGTATAGAACTATGGACAAAGAATGCACACAGACAATTCATAAAGGAAGAAGCTTCTTTAGGCCAATGTTTGAGATAAGCAGGAAGCTATATATGAGCTGGGAACAAGGTCACTTCACTAAGTGCAGCGTCCTAATTACCTGGCAGCGGCTCTTCCGACATGCAATACTCTCCTCTGCCCTGACCCAGAGTAGCCCCAAGCCCCATTATACCCTCATTTTCATTGTGGTTTTGACCCTCCCCTTGTGGGGGATCACCCCATGACAGTTCTGGAGATGCCTATGTAAGGAAAAAATCTCCCCCTCCCACCATGGTGGTGGAGACAATGCCCCAATTGGTCCACATTCCAAGACCCTCACCTGTCCCTGGAACCCCACATTCCAAAGCCACTGACCACCACAACTTTGGTGCAATTGCTCACCTCCAGCCTGCCTGCCCCTCCCTTTGAGGGTGTACCTTCACTTTGCTAATAAATCCTCTTCTGTCAAAACTTGCTCTGTGTGCCCACTCTCAAATTCTCTTGTGTCTGTGGACCAAGAACCCAGGACCCCACCCCACCAATCTGACTGGTGCTGGGGACTCATGCACTTTGTTTTAATAAAGGTCTGGAAAATGTGAATGTAAAATGACATAAAACATTCTTTCATACTCCTAACACTGACAAAAATGGAAAAGTCTGGAACTACCAAGTGATGATGAGGAGATGGAGTAAAGGAAATACTCCTAATACGCTGTGGGAGTATAAAAGTTACAACCACATTGGGAAATGATTTTTAAATGTCCAATAAGTTTACATCCCCAGCAAAATCAGGGAACAATGCCTAACTAAATGAATTAACATGGACAAGACTGAAATCATACATCTGGGTAAAAGAAACTTCACAGAATAAGACATTCAGTATATCATGTAGATTAAATATCTGCAAAATTATAGTGTTTTATTAGCAATTACATAAGTATGTAGTTAACCCATTACAACTTACATATGAATGACAAATGGTGATAGAGTTTATCTCTGGTAAAAAAAATAACTTGATGGGATCAGGACCAGGATTAATGGGAAGAGGAAGGAGGGTACAAAAGATTTCAACTTTAAAGAAAAGAAATTTTTATGACAAAAATAAATAGAAGACTGACTAATGTGAATACCTAAAGTAAATTTTATTCCTGCTCAATATTCATTATGAAAAACAAGTGTGTTTTAATTTAGGAAAATTCATAGTTACATTGTTAATATTAAAGTTAATAGATTCCCCTTAGTTTTTTTTTTAAATGTCTTGATTATTGCAGAAACATT